CTTCTGTGGCCAAAGTGGCATTCCAGACCCAGAGGCACATTCTGCTCTCCCAGCAGCTCTGGCTCCGGGGCTGGCCCCAGAGCACTGGGGATGCACTGGGAATTGCCACTGGCTGGCTCCGAAGAGAAGACCGCAGCACCTGCTCTGGTTACGCTCTACCTTTCGCAGTAGTGTCGTGTTGCTGAGTTACTTTGGGTGGCTCTGTTTGCATGCTTATGCACACATTGGAAAATCAGTTATGACTATAATGCAAATACCTTACATTTTTCCTCGGGGATGATGGCCTTGCTATTTTTCTTAATTCTAATGCTTGAATTCTGTTTTCTCGGTGTTTTAACCTGTTCCTTTAAGTTTTCTGCTGCAGCAATTTGAGAGAATACATTTGTATAAATGATTATGATGGTGGGCGCCAATGGACAATTATGTTATTAATTAAAAATATATGTCTTAACCTTGTTGGGGAAAAGTTACCCATTTCTCCTTGGTAAAGCATTGCTCTAGCAAAATAATACTGACCCTAAAAATTTAAAGTCTCTTAAATCATGACTAAAAACAAAAGTAATATCCACACTGTTGTTTTTCACGTTGACTTCAAAAGCTGGTTCAGAGAGTACATACTGTATATTAGAACTTGCCTGTAAAGTGAATTATAAAGACCAGATGTAAAGTCTCTTCCATGAAAATCTTGGCATAGTAGATAAAAATAAAGCTCATAATTACAAAAATTTTCTTGGTCTTTGACTATGAGTTCCATGGTTTACATGTTTTTGGATGGTTTTTCTCCACAAAGAAAAGATACTGTTCATTCACTAGATGACTTTTCAAACTCTGATACCTTTGTTTTTTAAAACATAGGCCCCTCTGCGCACACCTCACACTAATCCCTGATGACTGAGTAGAAATTTGAACAACATTGTGTTGTGTTTTCACTTAAATATCTGTTTTATCTTAAGAAAATACTGAGGCAATGGATAATGAATATTTAAAGAAATAATACCTTAGTTTAGAATGCTGCACAAAAGAGAAAACCTTATTTTAATTAGTTTAACTGCTTTTAAACATGTACAAAATATCTGCAAGTATATTTGTCAGTCAACAAAATTTTATATACCAGGGAAGAACAGTTAAATTTATAAATTTTTTTCATTTAATCAGATGTGATAAATAGATAAGATATAAAAGTTGATGCAGTGCTATATTACTAAACCAATATAGTTACATATATGCTAGGAAAAGTGAGGGTAATTTTATTAGTAGTAAGTTTGACAATGGCTTTTACTACCTCTTAAAATACCTGTGTCAATTTTAAAGCCATCTGAATTATTAGCAAGTACTTCTTGTAAGTGTCTCAAACTCCTCAGTCATCGGATGTGGCCATTTCAGCTCCTTCATTTACGCTAGTGATGCCACAAAATCTGTTCTGACCTCCCCCACAGATATGCAGGAGTTAATTCTGGCTTCCTTTCTTAGTTGGGGTTTACCGGTTTGGGTGGAGGCGTGGGAGATCAAAGGTGGACTCACTTCCAAAACCAATTATTCCTCAGCAAATGTGCTTTTGTATTAGGATAAAAAATTACAGCTAAACAAAAATTAGGTCATTAACACATAAGAATACATTCTGAGACCTTAGTGCAAAATACCTCTGAGTATGGGGGGCCTTTTAAGTGTGCATGACTAATTTTAGCTGAGATTTTGCACTTAATAACATGAAAGTAGGTCAAATGCAAGTGTGAATTGTGTGAGGAAAGTAATAAGGTCTGTGGTGAGTTATTAATACTGTTTGTTAAATTGTGTTACTGACTAGTTGTGAGATGAAAATACTTAGGCACTCCAAGCTCCTGGTTGCCATGGGCTGCCTCAGGCAGGGTCAGAGATGGAAGTCTTAGAGCTCGAGGGAAGTGCTCAAGAAAGGGCTTGGGCCAGATCAGAATTGTGGATTCTAAAGTGAGCTTGGGCAAAGGACGGTGGAGTACACTGACCTACCCTTCAGAACATCCTAGGAATTTAAGGAGGAAGCAGAGGAAACCGCAGACGGACAGTCACTTGTAAATATTGCAAGAAATGTTAAGTCCCAGTGTAGAACAAAAAAGAATCAATAAAAAGTGAAAGATTGCTGACCTTGTCTTGTTGTCAGAGATGCAAAACTGAAAGAAATGTTTTAAAGTGGAAACTATCTGACAGAATGATTAAATTATATCATCCTTATGACAAGTTCTTCTATAGTCTGTTAATCCTCCAGTACTTAGAATATTCATATCATAACTATTCAGAACCTAATGGGACAAAAACAAAGTAACCAAGCCATGAGCTCAATACAGTTTCAGTATGTATATGGTCATGAATGTCTATAAAAGAACATGTTCCTAGTAATTGAATTCTAGACGGTTTTACTTGTTTATCTTCACTTGGTGTGCTTTCTATTCTTTATAGTGATAGTATATTCTTACAGAGAAAAGTTGGTGTGTTTTTAAGAATAGGACCATCTCTATTGCCTAGGCAACCTTTGGAAAGCAAGTGGCACATAGGCACTCAGTAACTCATTTCCCTGGAGATCCCTGTTCACATCCTGCCATAGGATGATGATTCAGAGAATTTCAGGTCGCTGATGCAGAGACAGTGTTAAGTGGAACAGTCACTACCTGATCCCCAAACTAGCCTGACTGCATCTCTCTTTTAGTCCTTGATTTCTTGAGGTAACTGGGGTTGGGACTGTTACTACTCCATTCCTCAGAAGTAGGTCAGCATTAGTGACAAAATCTATTCCTCCCAAACTTATGTAGCCTGTTCTTTAGCATGTACTAGCTAGACCTGGAGAGATCCATCTGAGCCTAACCAGCCCTCCGTATTCTCCATGTATGTTTTCCTACTGGTTCTGTCTACATTCTCCCAAATATGAAGGCCAAAATAGAGGTTTTTACATTGCCATTAATCCCCCCCCCTCAAAATCTTCCCCTTCATCTGGAACACACTGAGCCCACTGTTCTTGCTACTTTCTAAAGCAGGTCTGGAAGTCCTCTTTCGTGAGTGTCTTCAGGTGTGCTGTCATGGCTGCCTCAGTGTCCTCCACTGATTCAAGATGTTTACTTGAGTGGTCAGTTCGACTTTGAGGAAGGGCCTGAAGTGGCACTCCCACACATTGAGCAGTCCTTCTTGGGCGCACCGCTAGTGAGGGCCCAGAGTAACTGCACTTCCGTACCTGGGGTGAAGGAGTACATGACATGACACCACTGGATAGATTTTTAGAGATGGGGAACAGTGCTAGATACCCAAATAGGCCACCCTATTTGCTCACCCTGCCTTAGGCTACATTCTCGAAGAGTCCTGGGTTCCAGCCCGCTTCAGCTGTTGCTCCACAACCTGCTGCCCCAACACATCCTCTGCTACCTGGTGTTGAGACCCCACCCTTTAATTATACCATTTCTCCGGCTGCATCATGCTAAGCTAGTGGTACTCTTGTTTGAGATGAGGGGGACACACAGCCACGGTCGGGTGGTGGTCCGGCTCTCAGCTGCTTAAGCTGGGTTGGAGCTTTCTCCCGGAGGGGGCGGACATGCAGACTAGACCATAAGAGACACCGGAGCTGGGAAGGAAGCGCAAGGCAGGCAACCTTGTTACAAGCCAAGCAGCGACTGACTTATTTTGTACAGAGATGGGAAATTCTTCCCATGACAACTGTTTTCTCTTGTTACCAATATTTAACTTTCTATGATCACTGGCAAGTGGCCACACCTCGGCTCCACTTTCCAGATAGCTTCTAAGTGCAAATGAAGTTCTGTGATGATTTTCCTCTGCCTGAAAAAGGGGAGTTTGTCCTTTTTTTTTTTTTTTTTTTTTTTTTTTCTGAATGAGCCCCTTGTAGTAACCATTTAGTTCTTTTGTGACTCAGCCCTTGGAAATCAAAAGTGACCCGTTCTGGGCCTGAAAGGGAAGTGCATTTGCGCAGGGTGCGCGTGGAGTCTGGTTCACGGCTGTCTGGGAGGAGAGAACAGCCAGGGCTGAGCAGGGCTGGCTCAGGCACTGAGACCGGAGTGCGGCAGCCCCAAGGGAGCAGCGCCCTCTCTGCCTCTCCCAAGCAGGCTAGAAGCTGGGACACCTTCAGCCCCTTTACTCCGTGCTGTCTAGGCGTCCTCACTCCATGTGTGTGTTGCACTATCATGTGTGTGTTGTACATGATAGTGTTGGAAGATCAGGCATTTTCAAACAGCGTCATGGTCTGGAGGCGCACGGCCCTCTCCTGACTCCATACTCAGCCCTAAGGCGATAATCATCCTCAGGTAGGTTGGGTTTCCAAAGTGGCACCATCTCATTTTACTCTTTTTTTTTCTAAAGCCACCGTAAAGCCATGGAAAGTTGGCCCCTCATATCTGTGGGCTAAACATCCGCAGATTGATAATATTCAGGGACAAAATTGTGTCCGTCCTGAATATGTGCAGACCTTTTCTTGTCATTTTTCCTTGAACAGAGGAACAGAACAACTCTGTTGCTGCATTTACATCGAATAAGGTGTTTTCAGTCATCGAGGCATGACTCAAAGGGTCCAGGGGGAGGCCTGTAGGTTATATGCAAATGCTATGACCATGTTACCTATGGGACTTGGGCAAATGCCCATTGCAGTATCCACAGGAGTCCTAGAACCAATCCCCGACAGATACTGACCGGCGATTATACTTTATTGAAGCATACTTTACATGTATCATTTACTATTCCAAGTGTACAATTCAAAGATCTTTAAAGGATGTTTTCCAGGTGTGCAGCTGTCAGTGTAAGTCAGCTCTGGGGTACAGTATTTCCATCACCCCAGGGAGGACTGGCCATGTGCTCATTACTGCCAGTGCCTGTTCTTCCAACTGCCGTAAGCCATCAGTTTTCCCCTTATCTGGACTGTTCGTATGAATAGCATCACGCAAGACGTAGTGTCTTGTGTCTCATTTCTTCCACTAGTGTAATTGTTTCGAGATTCATCCGAGTCAGCATGAAGCGATTCATCCCTTTTTCGCTGAGCTATATTCCACTGGATGATGCATCACATTTGGTTTCTCCATCGGCCCGCAGACAGACTTTGAGTTGTTTTCAGTTTTTGTTTATTGCGACTAGAGCTGCCAACAACACCCATGTCTGAGCCTTTGTGTGTGGACATGCTTTTATTTCTTTTGGGCAGATAACTAAGCGGGATCACTAGGTCAGATGACAAATTTATGTTTCCATTTTTTAAGAATCACCAAATTATTTTCCCAGGTGACGATTATTTTATGTTCCTACCAGCAGTGTGTGAGCGTTCTTATTTCCCCACATCCGTGCCAACGTTTGTCACTGTCCTTATTACAGCCATTCTACAGGGTAGGAAGTGGTATCTCGTGGTTTTGCTTTGTGTTTTCCTGATGATGAATGTGTTGAGCATCTTTTTAGTTGCTTATTAGCTATTCATGCAGCTTCTTTGGTGACAAGTCATTCAAACCTTTGAGTTCTTTCATAGGGTTGCTTATTGGGGTGAGCGGGTTCTTTGTGTTTTCTAGAGAAAGTCATTTATCAGATATGTGTTTGGCAGATACTTTCTCCCAATCTTGTTCACCTTTGTATCATATGGAGTACAAGAATGCTCAGTTTTCAACGATTTTTCTTTTGCATACTCTATGGTGTTTTCAGTATCATTTCCAAGAAATCTTTGCCAAGCCCAACATCTGGAAGATTTTCTCCCATGTCATCTTCTAATAGTGGGATTATTTTA